CCCAACACGAAACCGACTGACGCGAAAAACAGTTCGGGAAACTTCTAAGCCGACACGCTTTAACGGCAACCGTAGCCGGCGAACACAGCCGTCTGTTATACGTCACAGATGTGACAACGAGAGTTCGCTACCTCGTCGACACTGGCCCAGAAGTTAGCGTTCTCCCAGCGAATCCCAACGATCGGCTACAAGAACATGATAGACCCACTCTATCAACCACTACTCGATAAGTACCCTGGGATACAACAAACTCAACCGAAACTACCGTGTGTAACCAGCAATGTTACACATCACATCACGACTACAGGACCACCTGTATTCTCTAAAGCACGACGACTAGCTCCTGAAAAGCTAAGGTTAGCGAAAAACGAATTCGATCACATGATGGACTTAGGAATCATACGACCGTCAAGTAGCCCATATGCATCTCCGTTGCACATGGTCCCTAAAAAGGACAGCAACGATTGGCGTCCAACTGGTGACTATCGGCGATTGAACGCGAAAACCATTCCCGATCGTTACCCGTTGCCTCACATTCACGATTTGACAGCTACCTTGAAAGGTACAACTGTCTTTTCGAAAATCGACTTGGTTAAAGCGTATAACCAAATCCCTATGGCTACTGACGACATACCGAAAACAGCTATCATAACTCCCTTCGGACTCTATGAATTTTTGCGAATGCCTTTCGGTCTAAGGAATGCTGCTCAAACATTCCAAAGATTCATAGACGACGTTTTTCGAGGTCTCAACTTCGTACACGCGTATGTTGACGACTGTCTAATCGCAAGTCCGGACAGAGAAACACATCTCAAGCATCTGGACCTTGTTTTCGAACGATTACAAAAACATGGCATAACTGTAAACGTTCAGAAATGCCAATTTGGAACCGACTCGTTAGACTTTCTGGGACACACTATCGATGCTCAAGGTATCCGACCCCTTAGAACCAAAGTGGCGGCCATTCTGGATTACCCAGAACCGACCACCGTCAAGCAATTACGCACGTTCAACGGCCTGGTAAGTTTCTATAGACGTTTCATACCCAGATGCGCATTACTTATGAAACCTCTGACCGACCAACTTCGTGGAAATGCGAAATCCATTAATTTGGACGACACCGCACGAAAAGCATTCTCCACAGTTAAGGAACTGATCGCTAAAGCAACAATGCTCGCACATCAGGACACCCGAGCACCCATTAGCATCGCAGTAGACGCATCCGACTCGGCAATCGGAGGAGTCTTACAACAATGGGTTAACAACTCCTGGCAACCCTTGGCATTTTTCTCTAGAAGGTTGCTAGACACCGAATCGAGGTACAGCACATTCGGTAGGGAACTCCTAGCTATGTATTGTGCTGTACGGCATTTCCAACACTATATCGAAGGCCGTGAATTCACTCTTTTCACGGACCATAAACCGCTCACTTTCTCGTTAAGCTCTCCTTCTGACAAGTACTCTCCCCGTGAGTCTCGACAACTGGACTACATTTCGCAGTTTACTTCAGATATTCAACACATCTCTGGAGCAAACAATGTAGTTGCAGACGCCTTATCTCGCATAACTTCCTTGAACAGTTTCCAAGGAATCGACCTTCTTAAACTCGCCGAGCTTCAAAAAGAAGACACTGATCTTCAGCACGAGTTATCGTCCACAACACTTAAACTACGCATCAAACAGATGGGAACAGGTAAGGAAACCTTACTTTGTGACACATCTACAGGTAGGGATCGCCCAATCGTGCCGAAACATTATCGACGCAATGTCTTCAACACATTCCACAAACTTTCTCATCCAGGTGTTTGTATTCGAGTTGGGATTACCAATTGTAGCGTGGTGTCGAGTTGAGATTAACTATGAATACCGCTGCAAAGAAATACGTGCCAAATAAATCAGAAGGCGAAGGTTGGACGTAACCAAATAAATCCACAAAAACCCCGAGAAGCCAAATACCAGAAGACAATTAAAGGACCAAATCGAGATTTATTCGCTGGCGATCTCGTGGCATCGAAAGGATACCGAGATCGTGCCAGAATACAAGCTTGGTTACAGAACGTAACCGAATTCGCGCGAAGTTACAATCAAAGTGTAAGAATCAGAATGGAAGCACAATATAGCTGTCATTAGCACAGTCAGACAAAAGCACATTAAAACAAACACTGGTACAGTTGGTTATAATGATAATTGTTTTTATTAAACCAGTCGTGTTCTCGTGATAAATGTGAGTCACTACATGTTCGTGCAACCATCAAGCTTATAGCAGAACGGTTTTGCTGGCCTGGTATGAATAAAGACATGAGGGACTGGGCACGCTCCTGTGTAAGCTGCCAAAAATCTAAGGTCATCAGACATAATAAATCTCCCTTAGGCTCATTTAAAACTCCCGATGCTCGTTTCGACCATGTTCATCTGGATTTGGTAGGACCTTTACCAGATTCAAATGGATACTCTTACCTCTTAGCTGCGTAGACCGTTTCACTCGATTATGAATGTGTTGCTAGTGAAGGAATTGTCGAATTCCAAATACCTGTGGCATCTTTACCACAGTTATCATCACACCATATCAGTAACTTCTTCCTATTTCTCTGGTTAAAATAACCGTTTCTTCCCCTATCCTCTCGATTCCGTCTTCTTTCATACTACCATTTAAGCAAATTATTTAATAAATCTCGAAATAATCACTTTGTATTAGCACTCGAATCACCGTTTTATTATTTTCACATTGCGATCAAGCAGCCTCCCCCCTGGTACATTGAAAACCATTGAAATAAGAAAACACCCCCTCAAACTACAGGATATACAAATATACCGCCACACTGACTAGAATTAGTACATTTGAGTGCCTAGGACACCATTAGCTTGTAACAAATGCGTTGAAAAACCGCAAGATACTATTATTCTTGTCGTTTAAAAATGTGAAAATTGAAGGACATTGTTGGTGAAAGGTTGGCGGGAATATGTGCAATTTAGTTTTGTTCATGGGTAACTAACCTGTAGTTTTGTTTCAAATATTTTTCTTGATTTAATGATTGCATGACTGGTGATTGTTTTTAATTGATTTCGGTAATGATTCTTAGTGTATTGTGTTCGCTTGCCTTGTCAGTGACTTACCTTTCCTATTGTTCTTTCACGACCCTCATTCTACTCTGCATAATTCTCTAGTACTCGAACGTCTACAAAAACAAAACAAGAAGGAGTAACATTTAAGAGTTACAAATAAATATCTGAGCAGCCTCATGTGTTAGACTATAATTTTTGATCGACCTTTGAGCAACGCTTAAGTGATATTAAGAGTGTACACCTACTAACTAGATTTAAATGAGCGTTATAAAGCAGTGTGATGGATTGGAATTATGATTCACAGTTGATGGTTATGGTAAGGAATTGTGAGAAATTTATTTAACTGACTGTATTGGTAATTATTATGATGGAATGAGAAGTGAGAGTACAACCCCGATCTCCCTATTTTGGGGAGATGGTTATCGAAAAAAAATTGAGGGTTTTCTGCCGTTTCCCCAACATTTTCCCAAACTTCGGGGAAACTAACGTATTTCTTACGAATTTAGGGAAAACCCAAGTTCCCAGAACAGGAAGATTGGGACGAGAACTCAAAATAAAGGAAGGGAATTACTTTGTTTATAAAGATCAGTAGACGTTAATGTTGAGATAAAATTAAGTTGGATAACTTAACATTGAGGGGTGAGGTGCGTCGCGAGGAATAACAGCAGTAAGATTGGTAGTTACAAGTCTTGTCTCACAATTGTGTAACTTCCTTGATAGTTTTTCTCCAGGGTTTGTGTCACTAAGTGCAATAGTGGGCTTAAGGTAGGGATTAAGTTGACATGAACTACTGAGTATGCATCCACTCACATCTTGAAATCTGCAATTTTGTTGTACTTATTTTTATTTGGTCATATAAATAGTAGTACAAAAGGGCACCAAATACATATGCGCCACACAAGTTACTTGATTTATGTGTGAGTGAGTTATGATACTGTCCGGGTGCCCAAAGCGAAGCAAGTGGTTTTCTTAGAAGACCACACTCCGAGCCTTTGACCGAAAGGTCTGACTCACAAGGCAGTGGAGCAACGTAAACAGATGCAGTCCCATGGTAACTGGTGACCAACCGCAGGTTCATACTCCATTTGTTCCCTCAGGATACTGGATCCCATATACACCATTGATTTGGAATCAGGGTTTTCCAACTCCCCTAGGTGGACCCTCCATATGCACCAACCCGGCTAAATCGCCGAATATTCACTTCTCGTAAACAGCACCCGTGGTGCAAGAATTCAGTGAGTAGGACTTCCCTGTTAGTGGTTGAATGCACCTGGCTATATGGGAGCATTTCGAGATGGAAGGCCGACTCTTCCCACCATCGGCCGGAACTGGGTATTTGGGGGCTCTGTTACACACTTAAAATGTATGTAAATTTTTCGTAACAAATGCGGAAGCGTTCAACAAAATGAAATAGGATCAATCAGAAAACTCTGTCAGGGTAAACCCTATCATCTGAAACTATTCTCCATAGCTTATAAACAAATAAAAGGCCACCTAACCGTGGTTTGTATCATACTGAGTAGCTCATGTCACCTCACCCCCCACTTTAACCCTACTATTATACTTCACGAAATAATCTAAAGAATCATTCATCAGGGAGTGAAGGCACAGGTTTGATCGCATTTCTTTCACTCATTATCCTTTCTAAAACGGTCTCGTCCAACGTGGTCATAGCCAATTCAGTACATATTTATGAAAGAGGATGAAAAATCACGTACAAAAGCACGTATTATCGTTTCACCAAGATTCGACTAAGTACAAATAAGTCGAATTGTAGAAACATGTAGTCTCATGTTTGATTGTTTGTTGTTCTCAATATCCCCAGTGAAGATCGATAAATAAACCAACTCTGAAAAATTCTTTTGAAAATGTCTTGTCCAAATTAATTCACCTCATAATTTTAATTTTCAAAAACTATTTTGCAGATTTTGTATACTATGTCTATATTTTTACGGATTAAACGTCCAAATACTGATTGTCCTAGTCAAATCTGTGAAGCACAAAATCTTATAAAACGTCCTAAAGCTGACTTACAATCAATTCAATTTAAATATATCGGTAGTCAAACTTCAAATTGCTCATTAATTGGTAAAATCGACAAAGTATACACTTCCTCCGAAAAGTTATGTAAGATTATATGTAATACTTCAGATGCTACTGTTGTCGGAGAAAATCAAACAGTCAAGTGTCAGGTGAGTACCCTACATCTTTTTTTGTGCATGTCAGTGAAAAATAATGTAACCCATCTAATCAAATGCAGGTTTATGTGTACTTGACTGTGAATCAAATTTATTTTGTGTGAAGGTTGGTGGTAATACTCAGCTATCCAAACCGAATTAAACGAAATAGGGTTCATAACTATAGTGGTTAATAGATGAACACATTAACCATATTATGCCATCGTTTCTTGTGCATATATTATTTCTTATTGGATATTATCAGTTCCTTATAGTTAACTCTGTGCTTCACAACGTATGAACATCATGTTATGGTAACAATTAGTTTTACTATTGGTCAACTTTAGATTAATACGACTCGAACAGACTTCGTAATTAAGTCTTAAGAATGTATTTAAGGTAATCGTGTGGAAACTGCACTCGCATTTCCAGTAACTTAATAGTATTATGCTCTTTGCAGGACTTAAAGGCTTGACGATGTTGGAAAATGTCATAAAACTACAACTAATCAAGTGTTCAATGTTATTTCTTTCTAGTATAGTTCGTAATGTTATTGCCGTCAGTTATCCGACTGTAGATAGTATTGTAACTTGGTCGTCGAGTTCGGATATTGTGATGAACCAGTCAAGTTATATTGACCAGAACACTTGTTCATTTAGGTTCTACCATGCTCGGAATCCAGGTCGCTTGGATAGTGATAAGAATAAAATCAGCAAACTAAAAGTTCGAGCTCGAAGTCACACTATTGGCTATAAGGTGTCTCCCTTAAGTAACCAGGGTCATCCACAGTTAAATTGCTTTTCTACATAGAAACAGATCGGCCACAATAGGTTGGTCCTCAAAGTAGATCGTCTCACTTTGTCACATATTTCCGTTGTCCATGGTAAGGTCTTAAAGTGTGGGGCTAGCTCATCGTAATAAACTTACGCGTCTGTTTGATCTCAAGCAGTTGCTATTTGAGCTCTACGGTCACATTCTCAGGCCATTAAGATAACGAATAACTCAGTTCCTTCTGCAGCTACCCCAAACGAAGTATTCTTGCACAATATGGGCGTCCGGTAGATGGTAACCGTCATCATATTTCCAGCTTCAACCCTCAAATGATAAATAGTAGAGTCATTGTTTAGAGATATATTATATTATATATATATATATATATATATATATATATATATATATATGTACTTGGTGGGATAAATGACGCTATAGCTTTAATTTAGTGTCAAATGATCCACATCCTCTACCTTGTTCTTAGGTTGACTTACAAAATTTTTTGGATGCAGATTGTTATTTATGAACTGTCGAAATATTATTGGTTTGCAAAATTCAATATCATCCATGGTATCCTCATACAATGTTGGTATGCCTCATAGTCTAACGAATAAATAAACCCGAATATACTAGTTTCATTGTATCCTTGATACACCTGTGCACTATGTAAATATTTTGCAACTTTGACTTCAATAAAGTGTATAAAACTACTTTTATCTTCTTGTTTCGTACTGCGCTAATTAAACTGAGAAGTTCAGTTTATTAGTGTTAACTTTGTTAATAATGACTTTGATAGGATTTAAGTGAATCAATTATACATCAGTTACAATAATTAGAATTTATAAACTGAGTAATTGACACTTAACATAAATTATGTATAATGTTCACATTGAATAATTTCATGCAACGGAATTTCACCCAAATCAATATTGATTCCTTTCCTTATATTAATATTAATATTTTATTATTTGAACACAGATATTGGTACAGGGACGCACCAAATATATATGCGCCACACAAATCTCATTTGATTTGTGCTAAGGCTGTGATACTGCCTGGGCGCCCAAACCGAAGCAGGTGATTTTCTTAGGGGATCACACTCAGAGCCTTCGACCTAAAGGTCTGATCCACAAGGCAGTGGACATTGTACATCCTTTAACAATTCCTCGATTTCTTTTTGTCCTAGGTTAAGTCTTATGTGTTTGAGATCTGTTTCAACTTTGTTTTATCTTTTATGATCATCTTTGTCAAAATTATATCCTTTTTATTATCACAGGAATTATCTGTAGTTTGTAATTTATAAAGAAAAATAGTCTTTTTGAATACACTAAAAGGTTAGTGTGAAATGGTTCCGTGAACATTATGAACAATCGATTTTCAGTTTCGTTACAGTTTAGTTTGTTTATGTTTGGCTTTATTTTGGAAAAGTGTACGTTAAATCTTGAATTGTACATGTGATTTGACTATAGCGTTGTGTTTCTACTGCTTTTCTGGTAAATACGCGAACTGAGGTCATAAAAAACCTAATGTAGGCAATATCAATGAATTCTCTTCACTTATTTTTATAATACACTTCATTTCCATTATTCAAACATCTCTCAGGCTCTTTATTTGTCACAAAGATCACTAACTTCTAGTCTGAGCCATGTTGGTAGATGCAGACTACTTGGTTGGGGTTTGCGTGACTATCGTAACCAATGGTTGGAGTGGAGACTGTGGGTGACATGGCTCAGAACCGACCAGAATGGCGTAAGTGTATACACTCTCTGTCTTCCCTTTAACTACGAGATTAAAATAGCTTCATATCTTTCTTTTTACGAACTAATTCTTTCTTCCTGTATTATATCCTTACATGCAATCTTTCTTTTATATATTACTACTGTTGCAGTAACTACTATGAATTTGGTGTTCATCTTGTTGTACTAGTGAGGTATGCCAACTTGGCCGGATGCATATATGTGCTTGGTCCTACATTGTAGCTGACTGACTGATTTAATAGCCCAGTTCGCTTGTTTATTGGAAATTTCATGGGTGTATGAAAAAGTTCTTTATGTCTTTTAATTGTTGTTAAAGGTTCGTTTAATTATGTATACCATCTTTGCATGGTGTGACAAAACTTCAATAAATGCAGCATTTTATATTTTAATATGTTAAACATAGTTTGTTGAGTTGATTCACTAAAGAATGTTCTAAGATCCAATGTTTGTTTAAAAAATCCCATGAGAATCGGCCAAAGATGACATTTTTAAATAGCTGATTTGCGGCTTTGAAACCTCATCCTCAATAAAAAAATTTCCTTATTTCTTTTTCGTTCTATTGATTATGAGATGGATCAACAAGTTAGAGTAGATGTACGTATTTCTGTTTTGAATGTTTTGTGTTAATGTGTCCGAGTTTTACAAAGCCGAGTTTACTTCATTTTTAAATTAGTGGTGTTGTGATATAATTCTCTCTTATTATAAAACCCATCTATTCTTATTACTTAGTATTCTTGGACGCCAATTCACTCGACAAGTCCCCAAATCAGAACACAGTTGAACAGGAAAGAGATCATATTCCAAATAATAAGGTTAGATGAAGCACTATAGGAGAAACGTTAGTATATTGATAGTTTTCTTATATGAGAAGATTCTAAAGTGTTCTCCAATTATCGACTAGCGTTAATAGGATAAGAATTAGCCAATCAGCGTACACCAATGCAATCTTACATGAAGTATGCATATTTTAGTCCAATCTATGTCCTGCTAACATGTTGTTTTTTACACTTCGAACTAAATACTTACTTACGCCTGTTACTCCTCGTGGAGGAGCATAGGCCGCTCACCAACATTCTCCATCCAACCCCGTCCTGGGAAATCCTTTACAGTTATTATTCATCATTTTCATATCTACTTCTATTTCCCGACGTAATGTATTCTTTGGCCTTCCTCTTTCCAGCTTCCCTTCAATATTCCAAGTTAGCGTTTGCTTCGTGATGCAGCTTGATGATTCCCTTTATGTATATCCTATCCACTTCTATTACCTTTTCCTAATTTCTTCTTCAGCTGGAATCTGGTTTGTTCTCTCCCACAGAGGTCTGTTGCTGATGGTATCCAGCCTATGGATGTTGAGTATCCTGCGTAGACAACTATTTTTAAATACTTGTACATGTTTGATGATGGTTGTAGTAGTTCTCCAACTTTCAGCTTCGTACAGTAAAACTGTCTTGACATTCGTATTGAAGATTCTCACTTTGATATTGGTTGAAAGTTGTTTTGAGTTCCATATGTTGTTCAATTGTAGGAATGCTGCCCTTGCTTTGCCAATCCTCGCCTTTACGTCTGCATCTGAACCTCCTTGTTCATCGATGATGCTTCCCAGGTATGTGAAGGATTCTACATCTTCCAGAGTTTCGCCATCAAGAGGACCTCGGTTTTCTCCTTGTGTATGCCGAGGCCTACTGATGCAGAGACTGCTGCTACACTAGCTGTCTTTATCTGCATTTGTTCATGTGTATGCGATAGGAGGGCTAAGTGATCTGCGAAGTCCAAATCGTCTAATTGATTCTGAGCTGTCCATTGTATTCCGTGTTTTCCTTCAGATGTCGAGGTCTTCATAATCCAGTCGACCACCAGAAGAAAGAGGAAGGGAGAGAGTAAACAGCCTTGTCTGACTCCAGTCCTTACTTGGAATGCATCTGTCAGCTGTCCTCCATGCACTACTTTGCACTGTAGTCCGTCGTATGAGTTCCGGATAATATTGACAATCTTCTCAGGAACTCCGTAGTGTCGAAGAAGTTTCCATAATGTCCTCCTATCTACACTGTCGAATGCCTTTTCATAATCAATGAAGTTGATGTATAGTGATGAGTTCCACTCAACTGATTGTTCGACGATGATCCGTAGTGTTGCAATTTGGTCTGTGCACGACCGATCCTTACGGAATCCAGCTTGTTGATCTCGAAGTTGGGCGTCTACTGCATCCTTCATCCGGTTCAGCAACACTCTGTTGAAGACTTTCCCTGGTATTGACAGTAGTGTAATGCCTCTGTAGTTTTCACATTTGCTCAGATCTCCTTTCTTTGGAATCTTGACGAGGTGTCCTTCTTTCCAGTCCATCGGCACTTGTTCCTCCTCCCAAATCTTTTTGAATAGAAGGTAAGCATGCTTGTGGTTGCTTCGATGTCTGATTTCAGTGCTTCAGCTGGTATGTTGTCGGGTCCTGCTGCTTTCCCGTTCTTGATTTGTCTGACGGCCATTCTAATTTCTTCCGTCGTTGGTGGGTTGACATCTATAGGAAGATCTATGTGTGCTGCTTCGATGTCCGGTGGATTCATTGGAGCCGGCCTATTCAGGAGTTCCTCGAAGTATTCTACCCATCTGTTACGCTGTTGTTGAATTTCGGTGATTGGCTTGCCTTCTTTGTCTTTGACCGGCCTCTCTGGTTTACTGTATTTCCCTGCTAGTTTCTTCGTTGTATCGTGAAGCTGTTTCATATTTCCTTCTCTAGCAGCTTTTTCTGCCGTCGTTGCTAGTTCTTCCACGTATTTCTTCTTGTCGGCTCTAATGCTCCTCTTCACTTGTTTGTTTGCTTCTATGTATTCAGCTTGTGCTTGGACTTTCTCTGCTCGTGTTCGGCTGTTGTTAATTGCTGCCTTCTTGTTCTTCCTTTCTTTGATCTTGTCCAGTGTTTCTATAGAGATCCATTCCTTATGATGGTGTTTCTTTAGGCCCAGAACCTCTTGACACGTTGAAGTTAATGCTTCCTTGATGCCTTTCCAGTTGTCCTCCATAGTAGTTTCTTCTTCTTTCAGTAGATCTTGTAAGGCTTGGAACCTGTTGTTGAGAGCTATCTTGAATTCATTGAGTTTGTCAGTATCTCGAAGGAAGGCTGTATTGAACCTTTGTAGTGCTGTTTGTCCACTTGTCCAGTTCTTTTTTAGCTTCAGTTTTAAATTGGCTACAACTAGGTGGTGATCTGAAGCTACGTCAGCACCTCTCCTGGTTCTCACATCTTCCATTGTCCTTCGGAATTTTTTGTTGATGCAAATATGATCTATTTGGTTCTCTGTAGTGTGGTCCGGTGAGATCCATGTAGCCTTGTGTATACGCTTGTGTGGAAATATTGTGCCTCCTATGACCAATTTGTTGAATGCACATAGATTTGCAAATCTTTCTCCATTTTCGTTTCTTTCTCCCAGTCCATGTCGTCCCATAATATCTTCATATCCAGTGTTGTCTATTCCGACTTTGGCATTTAGATCTCCCATCAGAATAGTTAGGTCCTTTCTTGGCATTTCTCAATGATTGACTGCAGCCGCTCGTAGAACTGATCTTTAATGTCGTCGTTGCTATCATTGGTGGGTGCATAACATTGGATAATATTCATTAAGATCCCCTCCTTCTTTGTTTTGAATGATGCTTTGATGATTCTGGATCCGTGAGATTCCCATCCTACAAGTGCATTTCGTGCTACTTTGGACAGCATAAGAGCGACTCCCTGAGTGTGTGGAGCATTTTCCTCTTCGTGACCGGAGTATAGCAGCATCTCTCCCGTATTTAGCCTTTGCTGTCCAGCTTAGGTCCAATGGGTTTCTCTGATTTCCACTACTGCCAAGTTGTATCTTCTCATTCCCGTAGCTATTTACCTGATCCTCCTGGTCTCCCATATTGTCCCGACACTCCATGTACCTATAAAATTGTTTTTCTGGTTGTCAGAAGTGGCATCGGCCTCGTGATTTTCAAAGAATCTCGGCTTTAAAATAAATTACACATTCTGTAGTTTGTATATGTTTCAGAAGTAATTATACTTTGATACCTCAGTAATCAGATAAACAAGTTAACTGATGTTCCGCACAAGAAATTGTATGACTGAGGTTATCTTCACTCTTGTCAGTCTTCATTCACTGTGTTGTATCCAGTAATTACACACATTTCTCCCGTTTATGTAGTGAATGAGTGTTGTATATTCGAGTGTAATTATCATCTAAAAATCTCATTCTCAGCGTTTACTTTTATTATTAATGTATTTTTCATGTGGTGTCGGGTTGCTCTACACTGAATATAACAGATAAGTTTATGGATAACTCCAGCCTCTTGAATGAAAATTGCACGTTGATATCCAGCTTTCACTCCATTGAATAAATGAGAGAATGAAGTGATCAGAGGGGTTGTATATAACATTGAGATGTTGTAGATAACCTTAACCAAACTGTGCAACAGTTAACGTGTGTTTTAACAGTAAAATAATGACCGAATTAGATTACATAGTCAGTAAATACATGTAGAGCAAGTGTAATCATACTATTCTGTATTCTATTGAGGTCAAGCTTGACCATGTATTTCCTCATATACATATATATGACCAACGTTCATCTTACTTTACTAAGCATGTACTAACTTGTTACAACGTTGTGTTCTATAGTCACCAGTTTTAAAATGTGATTCCTATAAAAGTCAACTTTTTTTTGTTTATAAAATTATTCCACAAATATCAGATTAGTGTATTCTTTAATGAATCTTGTTTAGGATTAGATATCTTTGAAAGCTTTATTATTGTAATTCTCATTTTCATTCTGATTGTTAAACAATCATTCTCAACTAATGGGATTATTATTATTCAGTTGTAAGGGTTTAAATCTTCTTATTGTTGTTAAACTCTGGAATTGATCAATCCCTTTTGGCATATGTACGTCATATGTAGATTGTCTTGGTATTGTCACAAGCAATCTTTTTAGAAGAGGTGGACTCAGTAGCTAAGTGAATGATGCCTTGGTATTCAAAGCGAAAGATACTGGTTCTAGGTCTCAGAGCGAGCATCAACACTGGGTTCAGGTACATCCAGCTAGTGATGAGTCCAAAATAAAACGAAACGCATGACTTTGATTTCATTGCTAACCACTATCCATCTCTGCTTAGAAACCTATGTTATCCATAGATTGGACGTTGATATACTGGATAAGTATGAATGTTTTGATGTGATACCGAATTCGAACCCAAGTTTAGACAGTTGGGTAAGATCAATGGCCGCCCCCCCATAAATGTTGTTCTTTCGAAATCCTGTACGTAAAACATGGTGAATCAATTACATTGAATCTTGCATAAAGAAAGGACAATTATCGTAGCAGAATATTGGTAACGTATAGAAAGTATGTATACTTTCATTTTGATGGTTAATACAATGGTTTTAGGTTTTTAGTAGCTGAGGAGAACTAACAAAGTAAATGAATTCACGTTATCCTGTTATGATGTTTGTTCTTTCTTTATTCAAGTTAATAAATGAGAAAAATTACATTAAATCTGTTTCTCTTGGTGCTTCGACGTCTAAGCAAAAGAACACAATACTGTTATATTCTTTCTTGTTGCTCCAATAATGAGGTCGAACGAGGTAATCAAATTGGCAAACATTGTGAATTCACTTCAATAGAATAATTTACTCATCATTTATAATTTTCACTCCACTGGGAGTTTAAACAAAGTCTCTAGTTAAATTGAAGTCATTTATTCTGATAACATTTCCGACTAAATATAACGGCCACAAGGCATTCAAAATTCCAAATACTGGATGTACAGGTTTAAACCTCACTTCACGTACTTCGACTCATACAGTCGTATAGTATACTAATGCAACTAATCTTCACATAGAACTATCATACTCATTGCCTTCTCGCGGCGAGGGTGTTGTTTACGAAATTAAGAGAATGAAAAGCGAATGTTCGGCGCTTTAACCGGGTTGGTGGACACGGAGAGTCCACCTAGGGGAGTTGGAAAACTTTCATTCCAAACCAATGGTGCACATAGGCTCCAGTAGCCTGAAGGAACAAATGGCGTATGAACCAATCGTTGGTCACCAATTACCATAGGACTGCATCTCCTGAAGTTGCTTCACTACCTTGTGGATTAGACCTTTAGGTCGAAGGCTCCGTGTGTGGTCCCCAAGAAAGTCACCTGTTTCGCCTTGAGCACCCGAACAGTACCTTAGATCTTACACAAATCGAATGATTTACAAAGTTAAATTATTATATCATATCCCTTTTTTTCTTAAACATTTTCTTCTGTTTAATAGATCAAAGTAAATAATCTAAAACGTCCTGCTATTACTGCTGAAATTTCAATGATTTCAATAATCTTAATATTGATTCATCCAAAGTATCTATTGGTCCAAATCCTCCAAAAATTTTCAAAATTATTGAATTAACCCTGAATCAACTAATGAATCAAATATATTGTCAAAATTAACTGAAACGAATCATTCAAATAATGATATACATCAAACGAATTTCATTTATGATATATACAAAATGATATCACCATCCTCATCATCATCATCATCATCATTATCCGATCCCAAATGTTTATCATTGGAACAAACAATATGGTGTACAAATGATCAATTAATTAGAAATGCTGATAATTATATACATGATGAATATAGTTGGGGATTAAATGAAGATTCTTATGATTATACTAATGTTGATGATGATGAAGATGATTCAAATAGTGAATCAAATTGGCGTAATGATTATCCTGATGAACAAGACATTACTAGTAATAGTTCATCTAATCATTCAAATTCACCATATTCTTCATCGAATAGTAGTTGCAATAATGAAGATTCAGATTATTATTATTAACTTTTTTTCTTGCTGTATACATTTTGTTTTTTCTAAAAAGACATTTGTATAAAGTTGTCTACTCCTTTTGTGGTGTGCGCTACTTATATACACATAAGTAGTATATAATGATAGTCAGGAATAGATTGGATTTCGAAGAGGAAAGAACTGGAACGGAAAGCAATTGGCATGAAAATGCAGGAACAATGAAACTTAGACGATGGATTGATATATTGTAAAATAAACAGTCAGGTTTGAGACAATGGAGTGATATTTTGTATTGTTCTCATATTTAAGTGAGATATTCTGTAATTTCGTGTTCAAATACATTCGACTGTCCCCACTCAATTTCCTGTTCACTACACTTTTACAATCTAGTTTTCTTCAATTATAATTACTATTGTATTTTGTGTGACATTGGCAAACTGCCTAGATGTGTAGGTCAGAGCAGGTAGTTTTGTTATAGAATCACTTTCTGAACGTTTTATACCTGTAGGTCTAATCCACGTAATCGTGAAGTGACGTTAGGAGATGCAATCTTGTGGTAATCAGTGACAAAAATAAGTTCGTACCCGATCATATGTATGTCTGGTCTATTGCTTGTGTATTTTGAGACCACCGAGCTGGGGCATCGGATACTATATAAAGATTGGGAATCGGTTGATAAGGTAGTGGAATCATTAATTGAAGTGGTTGATACATATGTTATGTATGTCCAGTCACCGCCCATCTCGACGGGTGATGTCTGGTGTAGGAGTAAGTTGTCAAAATGTTAGGAATAGCGAATACATGGCACCAGCCCATAAAGTCACTGATAGTTTAACTGAAACGTGTTAACAGGCTATATACTACTTGGTTGAGGTCTGCATGAATATCGTAACTAGTGGTGAAATTGCTCAGAATCATCGCCAACCGCACAGGTGCATTCACTCTTTGTCTTTGAAGCATGAGTCCGAAATCTAATACCTTTTTAATACCTAATCTTTACTGATACTGTTACCATACGTGCTATTCTTGAGTTTGTTTCTTAAATTTTTTTCATCTCGCTGTGTTAATGTCGTTTGGCAACTTAAACTGACGCACGTATGTGTCACGTTCTACGTTGTGTATAACTAAATAACACCCATAAAGACCATGTGTAACCGAGCTTCACCAGTGTCTTGGACCTTGCAGTCACTTCTGGATCATCAAGACCACACCTATTCAACATTTCTTTCCAGCTACTTCAGGAAGAAATACCAATTAACTAAATCATTGTTTTGAGTAGTTCATGTGTATGTTACGTGTTCTTATTCGATTCACAATACTGATTAGTATAGAAGTAGGTTTGAAAACTGTTACAAGTTAACAGATGAAGATATCATCAATTCACGATGTCATTGTTTACTGATCTAAACCTTATCGATGGTTACAAAATTCTGGTTAACATACACTTGTTAATAATTTGTGGTTTAGAATATTAAGTGATATGTCCTGATACATTTGCTTTCCTAATTTTTCATTCTTCGATGTAAACTGTTCTTTTTTTGGACTGTACTTAGTGCATTTTAATAGTTGAATTCATGAGTCGATTGAAGCTAGACCACCATGGAAAACCTAGACGCACTAGACGACCGTTTTATCCCAGTATGGAACTCTTCAGCAGAGCACATCCACGATCCCGCCTCGCGAGACTCGAACCCAGGACCAATTGGTCTAGAGCGCGAACGCTTAACCTCTAGACCACTGGCTGGTATCCAACGGTGTTAACGTCTAACTTCAACCAATCCACGAAATCGAGCCACCGTCCATCATTGTCATCAGTGAGTTATTATCTCACAACAGACCCGGTTGAACTCCACTGGTCACGGCTTCTCAGTAGAACTTAGTGATTTGAAAAAAAAACAATTTCCCCATAAAAATATTTTTCTATGGAAATGTCGTTTTACAATGAAAAAAATAGTTATCATATTGTGGAATACTTTTATAAGACCAAATAATTGTATTTGAGTCTGTTCAACCGATTAGCTGATTAAATAGCCAATTTAACTTGAGGCATTTCAGCAATGATTGCACGAAGTGCTGATAAACCATAAAATGATACACAAAGTCGACCGATTTCATTTAAACTCTCTGTCTCACCATCGACAGTTTTAGCAGCTGTAACTAGAGATTAGAAAAAAATATACACAAAGAAAGTAAAGGGAAGAAATTACATTTGTAAATGATATTTGTTACAGACTGAACTCGGTTAGGGTACCATTAAGAACTAGGGAATACTGGCGAGCTACTCTTATCTAGTACTGAACAATGCGTATCTAGAATACTTCAGCAGTGAGATATTTTCGACTTAACACGAGATAGAACCTTAACCTTCAGTAAGTATCCACCGGTCTCCATGTTCAAGCTTCATTCATTTTAGAGTTATAGCTAAATCATCATTAGCCTTTCACTGTCTCGCTTTGATATGTTTGTCCACTAAATCGATATTTCACAACTTCAATACATTGGATGACACTAATTCTATGCTCATACTCCCTGAATCATTAACGAGAGTGGAAAGTCCAGTTTCATAATTCACATGTGCGTACTTTGTTTAGTGAAAACGCCACTCAATATTCATAGGCATGAAAGAGACAAGTATATAGACACATACATACTATCATACACTCACGCTTAATGTCATACAGAATGATTAATAATGTACGTGTGTAACACTTAGTAGCTACAATTTTGTTCCACATAAATTACGTTAAGGGATTGCACATACTCAACCGTTAAACACCACAAATACAATACTAACACTACAATGTGATTATTTATTTCGACACATAAAGATTGTCACAAGGAGGCACATAAATCGCTTGATGTATATGAGGGCTGGGGTACTGTTCAAGTGCCCAAACCGAAGAAAGTGGTTTTCTTAACGGGACCACACACGGAATCTTTGACCTTTACGTCTAATTCATAAGGCAGCGGAGCAACGCATGAGATGCAGTCCAACAGTAGCCAGTAACCAACAATAGGTGTTCCTTCAGGATTCTGGAGTCCATGTGCACCATTAGTATGGAATGAGGCTTTTTTAACTCACCTAACATGGACTCTCCGTGTCCACCAACTCGGTTTAAGTCCCTGCTTGACATTCGCTTTTCGTCGTGCCAGTTTCGTAAATAACACCCGTGGTGCGAGTAGGACTTCCGTGGGAGTGGTTGTATACACATGTTCATTTGAGAGTATTTGTAGATGGAGGTCTGACTCTTCTCACTCTCGGCCGCATCAGGGCTCTTAGGGGCCTACAGTGTCAAATCATCAATGATCATGCAATAATATTACTTGAAGATACTCTATTTTACAGACGGACATCAGCTATAGATCTAGTAAAAAGCAAACAGAATAGACTAGTTATTTTGTCCTACGTCATTCATCATTACTGAATAGTACTTGCTCATCATACACAAAAGAAGTATAATATTGAAAAGTTTTCGTACTTGGAATAAATACATGATCTATATCACAATTATCTCGTATTATTTGTCTAATATTAATCATAGCATAACCAATTTCTTCACATTCAGCTGATTGTGTTGTTGATGTAGATGGTTCACTAACAATAATAAATATTAAATTACCATTGTTTGGATCTTCTGGTAATAAATAACTTGCTAAATATTGTCTACGTTCATAATTCTTTGTAAAATCAACTGGAAATGCTATAATGTAGAAAAAAAAAGAGGAGAATATGGTAAGGTTGTGAACCGCGGTCCCCTCCCCTACCTCCTACTGTCGGTAGATAGATACGAAAAATTTATTTACCTCAGAGATAGTCTTTTGTTTTCACATTGATCTTAGCAAAAATCAAAGCCTGGAAACTATCCTATCACACTTAGCCAAGTACTAACAATATACAACCTAAGATAATATGTATTGTTTCGTTGTACACATTAAGTGTGTAGCACGCTAATATTCTTACTTTTATTTAGTTGACATTTCATTCAGGGTTTTAGTTGTGTACTATTAGGATTATCAGTATCCAATAAAAGTGAAATATCCATCAGAAACAGCTTACTGTAGGAGAGAAAAAACCAGATTCCAAACGAAGAGGAAATTAGGAAAAGAAATGGAAGTGGATAGGATATACATTACGGGAATCATCAAACTACATCACGAAACAAACGCTAACTTGAAATATTGGAGGGAAGCTGAAAAGAGGAAGGTCGAAGAATACATTACGTCGTGAAATAGAAGTAGATATGAAAAGGATGAATAAAAACTGTAAAAGAATTGCTCAAGACAGGGTTGGATGAAGAGCTCGGGTGGGTGGCCTATGTTCCTTCACGAGGAGTAACAGGCGTAAGTAAGTAATCTAAACATTTTAATCATTTGTTCGTTCATTTAATGTGTCAATGTTGAATATAGAAGTGTGATTTTCACTAAGAACTTTTAATTAAACTAAATCTATCTACATATGTCTTCTGTGAACACTACTTTAATGTATACCATATTAATGAATGAGAAAATCGAATAAAATGGACATTAGAGCCTGAAAAAAAGGCCGACATAAACAAACTGAAAATGATCAAATAATACATACATTCAGATTTGGATACACTATGAATTTATAGATTCTTATCATATATCATCGTATATGCTACAATATAACTAGTGACTTGACATAATTCAATTTAAAATGGTTTAGACGCAAGTAATTTCGACTGACAAAATGCTCATCTTGAATCACAATGTTAGCCATATTTCATTTGTTCTTTATCAAATGACCAGATAAAAGCTCAACAAAAGATGTTTATTTTTCAGAACAATCTAAATTGAACTGATGAAGATTACTCGTCCTCTACGGAACATTTTACACAGTCGAAATCACGAGTTGATGTAAGCTAGAACATCATTAAAAACTTGGAAGCACCAGACTACCATTTCTTCCCAGTATACAACTCTTCAATAGTACAGGACTCGGACCCATAATCTTCGGCCGCGTTCGCAAACGCTTAACATCTAGAACACTGAACCAACGTCCAACGATTTGA